CATCTGCCCCTGTATAGCAGCAGTAGTAGTAGTAGTAGTAGTAGTAGTAGTAGTAGTAGTAGTAGTAGTAGTAGTAGTAGTAGTAGTAGTAGTAGTAGTAGTAGTAGTAGTAGTAGTAGTAGTTAGTAGTAGTAGTAGTAGTAGTAGTAGTAGTAGTAGTAGTAGTAGTAGTAGTAGTAGTAGTAGTAGTATTACTGTAGTATTATTCTGAGTCTTACCCAGTTGGGGCTCTTCTTCCGGATGTTCTGGAGCAGAATGAAGACCTGCTGTGAGCCACACTGTGAGGTCCCTCCCTGGGTCCGGGTCTGGGTCTGGATCCGGGTCTGGATCCGGGTCTGGGTCTGGATCTGGGTCTGGATCCGGTCTGGATCCGGGTCTGGATCCGGGTCTGGGTCTGGATCTGGGTCTGGATCTGGATCTGGGTCTGGACCACGGAGCCGTGCCACACACAGAGGAGCAGCCAACAAAGCACAGGCCCCTTCAGCATGACACCCACCAGGGGGCGCTACCCATCCTGAGGCCCGAGCAGCACCAGGGCCCCAGCGTGGTCCCGGTTCAGGTCCCGGTTCAGGTCCCGGTTCAGTCCCGGTTCAGGTCCCGGTTCAGGTTCCGGTTCAGGTCCCGGTTCAGGTCCCGGTTCAGTCCTGATTTAGACTCAGTTTAGACCCAGTTCAGTCCTGGTTTTGACTTGGTTTGGTAATGGTTTAGACCCGGTTCAGTCCTGGTTTAGTCCCAGGTAAGACTGGGTTTAGTCCTGGGTCAGACCCGGTGAATTTTCAACTTTGTTTTCATACATTTTTTTTTTTTTTTGAAGTTGTATTCCAGATTCTGTCACAAACTTTTAACTCCTCACAACTTTGTCCATGGTTAAGTTTAGTCCTGGTTCAGTTCTGGTTTAGTCCTGGTTTAGTCCTGGTTTAGTCCTGGTTTAGAGTCCTGGTTCAGTCCTGGTTTAGGTTTAGTCCTGGTTCAGTCCTGGTTTAGTCCTGGTTTAGACCTGGTTTAGTCCTGGTTTAGTCCTGGTTCAGTCCTGGTTTAGTCCTGGTTTACCTGGTTTAGTCCTGGTTCAGTCCTGGTTTAGTCCTGGACCTGGTTAGTTCCTGGTTTAGTCCTGGTTTAGTCCTGGTTTAGTCCTGGTTTAGTCCTGGTTTAGTCCTGGTTTAGACCTGGTTCAGTCCTGGTTTAGTCCTGGTTTAGTCCTGGTTTAGTCCTGGTTTAGACCTGGTTTAGTCCTGGTTTAGACCCAGTTCAGAAGTGGCTCCTGCAGGTTTACTGATGAATTCTGACATAATCCCGGTCCAAGGCTCAGCTCTGGTCACAGCTCAATTAATCCTGGTTTAATCCTGGTTTAATCCTGGTTTAATCCTGGTTTAATCCTGGTCCAGATCTGTAAAAATAATCCAAATCTGTTATAATCCGTGGTTCAGATTCTGCATCGCTGCAAAAACACGTCCGGACCTGAAACTATAAACCGGAGCGTGAAGTCTGTCCTCGCTCTGCTCATCGATCTGCTCCTCCTTCCCTTCCTCCTTCTCTCCTTCCCTCCCTTGCTCCCTCCCTCTCTTCCTCTTCCATGGAATGACGGGCCCGGATCCAGGACGGGGCGGGACTTGGTGGGACTGGGCGGGACTTGGTGGGACTGGGCGGGACTTGCCTGAGATCTGCTTTAGCTCCGCCTCTTTTCCTGAAACTTCATTTCTTTCACAACACGACATTCCACAAAGAGTTCACTGCAGACCACAGCTGCAAGTCCCGGCTCAGACCCGGTTTAGACCCGGTTTAGACCTGGTTCAGTCCCGGTTCAGTCCCGGTTCAGTCCAGGTTCAGTCCAGTTTTAGACCTGGTTTAGTTCAGGTTTAGTCCTAGTATGGTCCTGGTTTGGTCCTAGTTTAGTCCTGGTTTAGTCCTGATTTAGTCCTGGTTTAGACCTGGTTTAGTCCTGGTTTAGGCCTGGTTTAGACCTGGTTTAGTCCTGGTTTAGACCTGGTTTAGTCCTGGTTTAGACCTGGTTTAGTCCTGGTTTAGTCCTGGTTTAGTCCTGATTTAGTCCTGGTTGAGTCCTGATTTAGTCTTGGTTCAGTCCCGGTTTAGTCCCGGTTTAGTCCTGATTTAGTCCTGGTTGAGTCCTGGTTTAGTCCCGGTTCAGTCCTGGTTTAGTCCTGGTTTAGTCCCGGTTCAGTCCTGGTTTAGTCCTGGTTTAGTCCCGGTTCAGTCCTGGTTTAGTCCTGGTTTAGTTCTGGTTTAGTCCTGGTTTAGTTCTGGTTTAGTCCTGGTTTAGTTCTGGTTTAGTCCTGGTTTAGTCCTGGTTTAGTTCTGGTTTAGTCCTGGTTTAGTCCTGGTTTAGTTCTGGTTTAGTCCTGGTTCAGGTTTGTGAATAAAACATTTACATCATAAAAAGTCTTTGGGTTTTTATTAAAATAAAATTAAACGTTTCCAAAAATCCTTTAAAAAAGTTGAAAATTGCAGAAACAGAAACAGAAACTTTAAAGGAAATAAAAAAAAATAAAAACCAACAAACCAAATGTGAAGTTAAAGAAAGAATCTGATTGGTCCAAGTTTGTCCCAGACACGTCCAAAAGTCGCTCTGTGCAAAACCTCCACACGACGTCATAAATAAAACACAAACACCAGAAAAAACTGAAAAAATAAAACACAAACACCAGAAAAACGATTATAAAAAAACAAAAAACAAAAACACAAAAAAACCACAAACACGATTTAAAATGAAAACGATCAAAACGATGAAACCGAAAAACACAAAACACAGATTCTGATTTAAAAACACATTTACACATTTTTCTCTTCCCGTTTTTACATCCAGATCAGTTTAATGCCACACTGCGGAATATTATCGCCAAAGGAACGACATCTCCATGGAAACAGAGAGAGGGAGGCAGGTGGGAGTCGGGTCTGTGGAGACGCGAGTCGCTCACAGTGTGGACGCACCAACGTGAAAATAAAGTTACATACTGGGGCTTTAAATAAAAACAACAAAACAAAATCTGTAAAATAACAAAAAAATATGAAATTATTTTAAATATTGAAGCTGTTGTTTAAATATTTTCTTTCTGGTTTATTTATTTAAAATGTAAAAAGTGATTTTAATTGTTTGGAGAAACATTAACGGCAGATTCTACTTTTTTTTTTTTTTATTATATTTAATTTTTGTTTTAATTCTCATATTTCTATAATAATTTACAAATGTATTTAAAGTTAAACATGTTTAGATTTTACAAACATCAAAAACATTCAATTTTTTCAACAATAAAATAATAAAACAAAAGCGTAAAAAGTCTAAATATTGAAACAGCATCGTTCATTTTCTAGTTCCTCTGTGGTTTGTTTGAAATCTCCCTCTGGCGTCGCCGGTCGGGTCAGGAGTCGGGTCAGGGGTCGGGTCAGGGTCGGGTCAGGAGTCGGTCGGGTCAGGAGTCGGGTCAGGGGTCGGGTCAGGGCGGCGCTCCGTGCACACTCACCCTCCTCGCCAGCGCCCCCTGTGGCGACGCTCCGTGCTGCAGCGTCTGCGTCAGACTGACCTGCGCTGTGCTGAAGGCCTTGATCCGCCCGCTGCCGGCGATCTGCAGGTTCACCGTGGTGGCGTAGCTCATCTTCTGATTGGGCGGTTTGGCGGCGGAGGGCGGGGCCAGCGGCGCGGGTTGGGGTTGATGGTTCGACGGCCGCGGCGGGCGAGCGACGTAAGCGCAGATGATCTGGCTGCGGCAGGTCCCGTCTTCCACCTGCGCGTCGCCCCAGTCCGGGAGCGACGGCTCGCTCCACTTCAAATCGTGACCGAAGCTCCGGGAAATCTCGTCGGACCAGGGAACGCCGCCGAACTGCTGCCCGGTAAAGGCGCTCCTGCCCGGGCTGCACCTGCCGGGCGACAGGGGCGACACGGGCGACGGGAGCGCGGTCCTGGGGCTCAGACAGGCCAGAGCGGGCGACGAGAAGCCGCTGCGGGGGCCGTGGAAGCTCGGCTCGGGCTGGTCGAAGGGTCCGTGGAAAGTGAGGGACCTGCGGCTGGTCTCGACCCAGGAGCGCCGCGCGCCGCCCGCGTGGGTCCTCGCCGGGCTGGGCGGTCTGTCGGCCAACGTGGTGGAGTGCGAGCGCCGCAGGCTGGACTGGGACGGCGGGGAAAAGGGCGGCGACGGAGAGGACGAGCGCGAGTTCCGTAAAGAACTGGGATACGCTGAGGTCGGCGAAGGACACGGCGAGAACCCACGAGGGTTCCGTGGTTGCGGCGCCGCGATGTGATTGGTCCAAGCGTTCAGCGAAGAGCCAATGGGAGGAGGAGACGTGACCCGCGGACTCAGACTCGAACTCACGGACGCCGCTCTGTTTATGTCCAGCGTCAGCCCCAGGGGATTGTGGGAGCTTCCCGGGCGACGCGGATTGGGCGGTTTGTTCGCCAACGGTGAATGAAAATCGTGCTGCGGCGCCGAGTGGTGAAAGGACGTCGGCGACTGGACTCGTGAGTTGGGCTCGGACGTGCAGAAGGGTCGCGCCACGCGGTTGTGCGAGTTCGACCAGGAAGAATCGTGCGCGAGCTCGGCGCTGGCGCTGGCGTTGGCGTTGGCGCTGGCGCTGGCGTTGGCGTTGGCGTTGGCGTTGGCTGCCCAGTGGGCGGCGTGTGGGCTGGAAACGCCGCCTCCCACGTTGGCGTTGTTGTTGTTGGCGTTGCCGTGGGGGTTCGTGGTATTTTGCCGTGCAGGATGGTTCACTAAAGACTGCGGCGACCACAGGAAGGACTTGGGTTGCTGGGTCGATTCCGTGGGGAGTTTTGGCGAAGGGGAACGTTGTCGTAAATGCAAAGTGGAAGGGAGCGGCGCCGGATTGGATTTTTCCGTCATCTTCTTGGCGATGGACTGGCTGATGGACTGACTGATGCAGGAGGCGGCGAGCGAGCGCGTGAAGACGGAGGAGGGCGGCGGCGGCGGCGGCCTGGGGGCTCTCGGCGTGGCGTTGGGCGGTCTCGGGTCGTGGTGGGTCGGGTTTTCGGGCGGCGAGAAGATCGGAGACGGCGGGCGCTGGTGGAGGTTTGGTCTGAAGGCCGAGGAGGAGCTGGGGCCGGCGGGCGGGAGCAGAGCGGCGAGCGAGGGCGACTCCAAACCCGACCGAGAAGACGGACGCGGCGACGCTCCGGCGAGTCTCTGCTCCCTGAACGACAAAACAAAACACAAGTTAAACATGAGATCGAATAAAACTGGACTTTTCTACCGGCGAAGGGTCGACGACCGCGAGTACGACACTTTTAAATAATGAATTAAATGTTTGGAATTTAAATATTTTTCTTCGAGTTTCCATGAAAATAATAAATCTGAACTGAGGTTTCCATGGAAAACTGGACTCAGCGTCTGGGGAAGGTTCTGGTTGAAAACACACTCGAGCTCCCAGCAGCTTCTCTGTCGTCTCTGTTTGTTTCCTCCACGGACACAAACACCACCCAGACTTTTCCCTCAGTGGTTCTGATGATAATTGTTGTGCAGCTGGAGAATTGTCTCATCAAGTTTTACGTCTGTGAGGAGGAAGACGACAAACTGAAGCCCTGTTTACATGTACACGAGTATTTTTAAAAACGGAGACATTTCCCTTCGTTTGTTCACATCTTTTACACGCAAACGGCAAATTCGTCTCGGAAAATGAATCTTTCTAAAAACTCCATTTAGAGTGAAGATTCTGGAAAAGTCCAGTTTCACATTTGTGTGTAAAGTGAAATAAACAGAGTTTTAGGAGCTGAAAGTGCGACCGACATTTACCTTTTACTCTGATGATGAGATACAGGGAGAGGGATTAACCATCACACCCCTCAAAAGCTTCAAAAACAACATTTTGAGGGGGTTAAAATTAGAGTCTGACCGATATATCGGTTGGCTGATATTATCAGCTGATACGGGCACCTGGAAACATATCGGCCGATATGTTTGCTGATATGGGCCGATATTTCCTGTGGGCAGGTTACACGTCGTTATAAATCTTAGACTCTCTACATTCTGTTCATTTAATCCAATTTACAGACAGATAAATGTCCTAATATGTGACTCCACATCAGTGTTTATCTGTGGACTCATTTGTCTGTGTGTGTGTGTGTGTGTGTGTGTGTGTGTGTGTGTGTGTGTGTGTGTGTGTGTGTGTGTGTGTGTGTGTGTGTGTGTGTGTGTGTGTGTGTGTGTGTGTGTGTGTGTGTGTGTGTGTGTGTGTGTTGTGTGTTGTGTGTGTGTGTGTGTGTGTGTGTTTGTGTGTGTGTTGTGTGTGTGTGTGTGTGTGTGTGTGTTGTGTGTGTGTGTGTTTGTGTGTGTGTGTGTGTGTGTGTGTTGTGTGTGTGTGTGTGTGTGTGTGTTGTGTGTGTGTTTGTGTGTGTGTGTTGTGTTGTTTTGTGTGTGTGTGTGTGTGTGTGTGTGTGTTTGTGTGTGTGTGTGTGTGTGTGTGTGTGTGTGTGTGTCTGTGTGTGTTTGTTTACACCTGCAGTTGTGCTCAACACAGATTATTTTCTTTTTACGAACAATCAGTTTGAGTCTGAATTAAAAGGACATTTATTAGTTCAGACTTGTGATGTGGGAGGAGCCTGTGTGATGTGGGAGGAGCCTGTGTGATGTGGGAGGAGCCTGTGTGACGCTGGTTTTTGTTCTTTGTTAGTGATGATCTGTTGTGTCTCAGTCTGTTTTCTGTTGGTCTGTTGTAAAGTGTTATATTGTTTGTATATTTGTGACTGGAGCTGCACTGATGTAAATGAGCTGTGAACAGACGTGTGAATTATGACATTTGTGCATATAATTAATCACCGCGGCGGCACAGCATTTATGGCTAAAGGCTAATAGCGCTAGTTTCTTTACAAGCTCGTCCTGATGAGTCGGTCAAGAACGAAGCGGCTCTTAGGGCCTGATCCTTATTGGGAGTCGTGTTTTCTGTCACTTTTTTTCTCTTCACGTCGCGTTCAGACTCGTGGGAGTTTGACAGCGGCAGCGGCTCAAAACGAAACTTTCAGAATCATGCCTGTGCATAGGAGAGAAAAAAAGTGCATATTTGTCTGCAGTTCAGCATAAAATAAATAAACCAGGACTAATCTTGAGCTCAAGAGACGGAGATAAAGACCGAGTCCCGACACTCAGTCCTGGTTCAGTTCTGGTTTAGTCCTGTTTTACTAATGGTTTAGATCTGTTTTAGTCCTGGTTTAGTCCTTTTTCAGTCCTGGTTCTGTTCTGGTTTAGTCCTGTTTGCAACAAAACAATCTGAAGAGCCACTTGGGAGCCAAAAGAACCAGCTGCTTTTAGTGAGTCAAGCCAAAAGAGCCGGTTCTCTAAAAAGAACTGGAATAAACATCACTAGTGTCTAGAATGTGATGCAAAAATGCCATTAGGCCAAACTACTGTCTGTAAATATGATGTAAAGAGGCAGAAGAACAATAAATGTTTCCTAAATAAACCCGATTTAAAATCCACCAGAGCCAAACCTAAGCTTTTTAAATAATTCAACATTTACAGTGAATTTTTACATCACTAAATATATCGGTGATTATATCGGCAGCTCCAACTCCCATTATATCGGTTTCATATCGGCCACAACAAAATCCATATCGGTCGGGCTCGAGTTAATATATATAAATAAATATATAGATACAGATAGATGATAGATATAGTCCAGATGCCCTCCCATACGGACCTGGACCAGGGTCAGACTGATGTTCCCAATGTTCCTCAAACTGAGAAAGGAATGTCCCCGTTAACACCTCAGGTCGTCTTCATCTCAAGTGTCACCGTGAACTCACAAAACAGCAACATGTAGAACTTTGTACAAACTCACCACATCAGCCCAGAGCAGAAGATCTGAGCTCAGACAAACTCGTTAAACACACGGGAGAAGTGACCGGAGCTCAGGGCCTCAGGACGAGTCTGAGGGTCCAGTGTTGGTCAGATGGTCCAGAGGCTTCATCCTCCGTGTCCTGGTTCCAGACGGGGACGAGTAAGACCAGCGCAAAGGACTGAGTCTGAGTGTTTCAGTGTCGTCGTCTGTGTGTTGGTTCTGTGTGGGGGAGTGAGTCCAGTTTGTTTGTTGTGTTGTTCTGAGCGTCCGTCAGGCGGAGGCACCGGACACACCCCCCACTTCAGCTCAAACACTTTTTCATGTGTTTCATTCACACACAGCCACTGTTGGGCAAGTTCATTTAAAACTAATGTGTTATTTATGACTTATTACTGTCATTTCAAAGTCATTCGTTACATTACAATATTACTGCATTTAAAATGTCAAACATTACATTACTATTACATTACTTTAAGTTACTCTCACCAAAATAACTGTGAAAAAGCTGAACTTTTGAGCTGAACCAGGACTAAACCTGGACTATAACAGGACTAACCTCAGACTGATTCCAGGACTGAAGAGGAGGACTAAACCAGAACTGAACCAGGACTAAAACAGGACTCACTGTGGGGACGGGCTCGGAGGAGACGCAGGAGAAAGGAGCGGCTCTGCTCCTCATGGAGGTAAGAGCGACTGTCGCCCGATCGTTCTTTTACAGACTCTCTCTGCTGCTCGGGCTCACGGTCCTGATTTCAGCAACTATTTGCAGGTACAAGACCCGGTGTAAGAGTCTGTTACAGCGAGTAACTTCTACCTTCCTTCAACGTGTCCAGAAGTCCAACTTTTTGTGTGATGGTTTCATCGTCCTCTGTCTTTTGGGTGTGAGGCAGGAGACTTTGTCGGTGCAGAACATTTCGTCGACGTTGTGGATTTTGTCGGAGAGAAAACTTACAGACATACAGCACTTCAGAATCACACTGATACAGACTGAACATGTATTTAAATTTGGCAGCTGAACACATTCTGTACTGTACAGGAGACAGGAGTCCCTCAGCCAATCAGGACGCAGCGGGAGGAACGCAACACGTGTTCATACAGTAAAAACAAAAGGCATCAAAACTGCACAAAAAAAATAATAATAATAAAATCAGCGAAACAGCGAGACCGCGAAAAGTGAAACGCGATAGAGGGAGGGACGAGTGTAAACCAGGTCTAAACCAGGTCTAAACCAGGTCTAAACCAGGTCTACACCAGGTCTAAACCAGGTCTAAACCAGGTCTAAACCAGGTCTAAACAGCATCGAGTTCTGGGTCGGTCCTTTCGCCTGCGGTCACCTGAAGGTCTGTCCGGCCGCGTCTCCGCCGTTTCACCGCTGCTGATTTTAGTGAATTTGTATGAAGAAAAACCCACCACTTCAACCCAGGATAAAAAAGCTTTGTAACTCGCGTGACTCACATTTGTACTGAGTAAAATATGACTATTTTTTCCCCTGTGATGCTGAACATTACTGCGTTACAGCAAAAAGCGACTCATTACTGTAATAGATTACTGTTGTAACACGTTACTCCCAACACTGCACACAGATGATGGATCAGATCCATGAGCAGAGATGAACCAGGGCTCACAAGTCAGTGATTAACAGATCTGTGGAGAGGCGAGCCGCTCACTAATGCACGTTGTTTTTCAAAGTATTTGTGAGTAAAACTTACAGCTGTGATGAAATAAAATCTACAGGTTTGAGTCTGATCCCTGAGGTGCAGTTCTGACGACGCTCGATGGAGGATTTATGAACTGATATATATATATATATATATATATATATATATATATATATATATATATGTATATATATATATATATATATATATATATATATATATATATATATATATATATATATATATATATATATATATATATATATATATATATATATATATATATATATATATATATATATATATATATATATATATATATATATGATATATATTAATGAAAACCTTTTTGAAAACGATGCTGAGTTGTTGTTGTTTTTTTGAAAATGGAGGGAAATATTAATTTCTCAAAATCCCCGTCTCTGTGTGAACGCAGCCTGAGTGTGAGTCTGCCTCAGTCCACTCACACGTCCCACTCACACGTCCCACTCACACGTCCCACTCACACGTCCCACTCACACGTCCCACTCACACGTCCAACTCACACGTCCCACGTCCCACTCACACGTCCCACTCCCACGTCCCACTCCCACGTCCCACTCACACGTCCCACTCACACGTCCCACTCCCACGTCCCACTCACACGTCCCCATCCCACGTCCCACGTCCCACTCACACGTCCCACTCACACGTCCCACTCCA